ACTCGGGAACTGGATTTTTACTACGGGTCGATTTTACCTTTCATATTATTTTTTAAAAATATTCAACCGATTTAATTGAATTTTTATATATAGGCCTCGCTTGACAGTACAAAAAACCACGTAAACCTTTTGGAAAAAATCTGGGGTCAGCAATTATTTTTTTAATATTGGTCAAATTTACATTTTTACGCATATAAAGAGATATAATCAACCAATTTCCTTAAAATTTAATATTTGAATTTGGGATGTGAAAACAATGAACTTATAATTTTTTTGGAAATATCAGAGCTTGCAAACCAAATTCTTATTACGGGCCGATTTTGCGTTTTTATCATATCTAAGGAACTGAATGACGGAATTTTTTGAAATTTAATATTTTTGTTTTGGTTGATACCTAAAGTCACATTTTAACGAATTCGGATAGCACAAAACTAGATATAGATTTTCCCTATTTTCCCAAATTACATATACATATATGTATATATTTCTCGTATGCATTATTAAAAACTTTTCTATTTAATAAACGGGCAAATTCATTCATGATTTTAGGTATAGCTTAGTTTCGTTGTTGTTTTTCATATCTAAACATAAACTAAAGATTTTCTAGTACTGTAAGTAAATAATGCAAAAGGTTATAATTTAAAACACTTGCCTTAAAAAAATGATCAACTTGCTTATGCGATACTCGAGTACTAGATTCAAGAAACATTATAGAAATACATTTAGGTTTAAATTCAAGCCTAATATTCAACTCAATTCTAATCTAATATTACAATAAATGAGATGTTCTCAAAAAAATTTTCTTTATATAAATTTTAAGTCTAGTATGTCAAACTCTCTATATGTCTATTACAATAATCGTTTTGTTGTTGTTAAATCTTCTTGTTTAATAATCAACTTTGTAATCCCAATTATCGCTTTAATTGTATAAAAATAAAAATGAAAATACTTACATAATAATCGAAATGAAAAATCATTGAAAGCATATGTATAAAGCTATACATACTACAATTACGCATTACATACCTAACATTACCTACGTACAAACAGACAATATAAATAAATTCTAAATTATTTTTATTTTCTCATTCGACAGCCACTTTAACCATTAAAAAAATTTTTACTGTATCAATTGTCGCTCGTGTTGCGGTTTTTTATACACACACACACAGTAACTATCATAACAAGAGAGATGACAATCAAATAGGACAGAAAGATATTCAAGACTTCTACTGCATGTAGATTATTCGGGTGAGTATGGTATTTAAAGGTTTGTTATGCAAAGACTACAGGGAAAATTACAAAAAAAATCAAAAAAAAAAAATTTTTATATTATTGTTTTTTGTTGTTTTTCAATTAGTAAATTGAGAGTTTTTTTTGTTATTATTCTTTTATAATTTCAATTTTTTTCCAGCCATCAATGGGGATAAAAATGTCCTTTTTCAACCATCTCGCATAGCACCAGCTTCTGATCAACAATTTATTTTCAATTTATTTCTCTGTTTCTTTTTTCATTCTTGATTTTTCTTCAATGAATGTACGCAAAATGTACAAGTGCACACACGCAATGTAGAATTACAACGATTACAAATATATTCCCACAGGAGTATGCACAATTGCACACGACGTGTTGCTTTGTTTTGTCATTTTTACTATTCTTTGTTCTTTTATTTATTGTTGTTTTGTTTTCAATAATTTTCCAACAAAACACTTTGCTTAACTACATCAAAAATGAATTCAAATTACTTTTGTATATGAGAGCAAGTAGATGAGCGTACAAAAATAGATTGTGCTATTCGGATCAATTCATTTTTTTTAATAAAAAATATTGTAATTACAACAAGGATACACACATTCCCTAATGTGGTATCTGGCTTTACGAATATATTCACACAATATGAAAAAAGGGACGAAAGATTTATAAGTTTTTGGGAATTTTTTGCTATTACTGTAAAAAAAAATTTTGCAACAAAAATTTTCAATTCGTTTTTATTAAATAAAAATAAAATTAAAGAAATTATATCATTACATCAGAAAAAAAAGGAGGAAGAACAAAGGACCAAAAACAAACAGATCCAATTTCATATAAATTTTAAAATTTTCATTTGAACTATGTATATATAGCAATCAACTTACGTCAGCGCACACCAGCAGAGTACACACATAATTTATCATCTCCGTGTATCACAACACAATTATAAATATTAAGGATGAAATAAGAAAGGGTAAGAAATTATGAAAATATTTAAAAGGTGTAGTGAAGTCAAGAGCGTGTTAAAGATGCTCGAAGAATCAATGGTAAGATAAAGAAAACTGAAAAGGAATATTGTAAAATAAGAGAAGGGCTTACTATACAATTTGAAGTTATGAGCCATTTATATAAGAACATGAAGTGCGGATATTGTGATGCTCCTTTCCATGGCTCTTATGTAAATTAGATTTAGTGAAATATACAAATAAATAAGGAATAATAATTTTTTTACATCATAAAATAAATGAATAAAAAAATTAAAACTAAATTTTGTTGGTTTTTTTGTACCCATTTTGAAAATTATTTTATAAATTGAAGAAGAGTTCAAAAAACGAAAATTTGTTAACTCTTATGATCATATTTTTGTAGCAAGCGATGTTTAGAACTTTTTCAATAAAATTATAAAAAGTTATTAATGTTTATTAGTTTCACTCTGCCAGTCTATCTGTTCGTTTATCTGGTTGCAAAATTTCTACACCCTTTAAGATATAAAGCTGAAATTTTATATACAAGTACATCTTCGCAAGAAACTAATTTCCCTAAACTCACCAAAATTTTTTTTTAAAAGTTTATTGTATTGAGACAAGCAAAGTTTTCCAAATTTTCTCAAACCCAGAGAAGTAGATCTCTAAATAGCACAGGCAAATATGACAATATCGAAATTAATTGTTTTAACATTGTTCTTCTTTCAGATTGTAAATTGTAGGACTTTCAAATTTTAGCAGCTTTTAGACATTTATTATTAATTTTTAAGAAATTTTTTTCTAACTCAATTCACTCCCGAATCATCTCTTTTCGAAACTTATAATAATTTGAATTGTCGACACGATTCCAAAACTGCAAGTTTCTCCAAATTTCTACAATAGCCGCCGAATTCGACCATTAAAACCCTTCTTTTAACTTATTTTTGTTGCGCATCTAAAAGTGCTACTTTGGAAACAATTCTTTTGATCCAACTTTATTTATGAATTCTAGTGATCTAACTTTATTTCAGTTTCTAGTCAAAGCAAATAAGTATTGAAAGTTGTTCTTATTTTGTAATGATTATAGTAACTAGTGTATTATTATTCTTATATTGAATCAGAAAACGCTTCTCCATTTATGCATTATTGCAATTTGACATATCAATATAGAACTAAAGAAGATTTAAAAAGATAATTACGAAAAGCGTTTCCTGTCTATAACTTCTCCTTTTTAGATCCAGCATTTATTTTAGTTATTGTCACTCACAATTTGCACTTTCCTATTTTTCCGAGAGTTCTAAGTTTACATTGTAAATTCAATGAAGCCTAATAATTTTCTACAAGCGCAACCGATTTTCCATCATTTATCTTTATCACTAGAACAACTTTGTATCTAAAAGGCAAATACAAAATTAATGAATTATAAAAAAATTTGTTAAACGTTCCCCTGTTAAAAATTTTTTTCGGTTAATGACATTAGAATGAAAGGCACGAAATGCAACGTTCACTTAAATTTTACATAGCTATATAACGTTTGAGTAAAAACCTATAACCTCTGAAACATTTCGGGAAATAAGAATCTTTACTATGTAATAAGATATAATGTCTTTATGCATTTTAAGAGTTTTCTACTCTAGAAACTGCGTGGTATTGCAAAAGTAGTGGTAAATCTACAACGGCCAGCTTTGAACAAATTCCTTTGCACGAGTATAAGAGCTACATCACATATTTTTATGCATTATTCCATGTGAAATATTGCATTATAACTAAACATGCGGGTATGTGCGTTATGTATAAAAATAAAAGTTTAATCAGTTTTACAAAATATAAGTTTGTTTTCCAATAACAAAATTATTTATCTGAGTCTTTTTCCCCCCAAATCATATTAACTGACAAAGTCTACTTGAAATATATTGTTTTTTTTGAAATATTTTTATACAAGTCCAGAACGAAATGCAATTAATTTTTACCTTTTATATTTTATTGTTAAAAAAACAGTTTCATCAAATAGTATAAGAACAAAACTTGAATAAGTATTTATGCTAAGTTTCTTAGTATCTATCCTTAAAAAAGAACTAGAACTTATAAATACTATTAGTAATTTAAAAGCAAAGCTGCTATTAATAACTACTGCAATAAGTTAAATTAAAATCCTGTACATTTATAATGTTTACCCCAACATTTCATTCAAATGTGATATGCATGGTACTTCATTAAATTAAAATACCGTTATTATTATAACGTGTTTACACATCCATTACTAAACATTCACTATTGTCACTTCATCTGACATCTGTGTCATCTGACATCATTCAGGCTGCGATCAGTGATGTTAAATGTGCAAACATGTACATATTATGTAGTTATAATAAAAATTGATATAATAAAAATAAATATACATTAAAACACATCCTTATCAATATAAAAATTTTAAACGCGTACTAAGATTTTAGTGAAAAATTAAAAACATTTCTTGAGAATAACAAATAATTAATTTTAGAAGCTTTATTAACTCTATACTAGAATCGATTTTCTAAATAATCGATTAGTAAACTCATAATAAAATTCATAAATAACTTTCTCTTTTAAAATTGGAAACACTCCGGAAAAAATTAGCGCATGCTTGTTTCATAATAAATAAACAAATTTGTTTTTTTTTTGACATTTACTGATAACACTCATACTTTTTTTTTATTTAATAATCTCAATGCTCTCCAATATTTTCCAAATACCTACCTATACTTTCTCAGTGAGCTGTCTATTTTGTTTTCATTTAGAAAGTGAAGTGTTAATATGTGCCCATTTGTCAAACGAATAATTTTGGTGATTTAATTATGAAGTTTAAACTAAAAAAATTTATGAAAAATTGAATAAAAAATGTTGATAAGACGGAAAAAGAAAATTTTTATTAAATTTCAATGTGTTAAAATAAATCCTTTCTAAGGATCTGATAATTTTGTTTTGTTTTTTTTTTGTTTTTGTTTTTTGCACTTTGGAAGAGTGAATCCAAAAAAAAAGGAAATCATAGCAATATTAACAACGTAACAATGGTAAAAAATATTTAAAAAAATTTTCTATTTTTAGCATTGCCATAAAATTCAAAATAAGTTTTTTTATGTTTTAATCGAAATCTAATTTTAAAACTCAATATCCAAGTTATATTTAACTACTTACATATACGCACATACAAATGTTAAATATCTATGTTATTATACATGAATACATACACATTTTAAAAGTGACAAGAGTTCAATGTATTAATATTAAATTACATACATATGTACATACATATGTATTATAAATTGTCGCCAATTATTGTTTATTTTATCTATAATAAGGAAATAAAACAACTGTTTCCAAGGATTTAATTTTAAATACATTCGTTACCCTATCATCATACGGAAGCTTTAACAGAATTATCAATAGAACTATCAATACATATCTAATAAACAATAATATTGAACCTTAAGTCACCATAATAATATTGATATAGAGAGTATAAGCTGATTACGGAACATCGACATAATAACATGGAGTACAATATTATAATAGTTTTTACAACACGTGTATTATTGTATGTATATCTAGTTGTTGTCATTAATTGAATTAAATATTCTTACATAGATGTGCATATATGTATATACTAACATGCAATATATTTATAATTATGTTTTGAGAAGTTTAAGAACACGACATTATATGTGTATGAACGAATGAATATTGGGTACACACTCCATTCCACTGTTTATTAAATATTCACATTTTGCATTTTCTCCTAAATATATGCAAAATTTTATAAGGGTTGTGACTTTTGAAAATATAGGAAAATCATTGTCCTAAATGTATGCTGAAATTTTTTAATAAGATTAATTGTCCCAAAATATTGTTGACAATATTTTCAATGTCATAATATGAGTGTTGATGACTTTAATTATTTAAAAATTCTGGATTATATAACAAAAATAAATTAATCTGAATTTTTTTTTAAATTCATCGCTACATACTTATTTAACTGATGTCTCTTTTATTATCATTTCAGATAATTTACTGTCGAAAAAATGTTTATATTTTATGTATTACAATTTTGGCAATATTTAATATTTTTATAACGCATCGTTTAATCTCTATTTCAAAATGCTCGAATACAATTGGCTCAAATACAAAAACTTTAACTAAAATTGCTTCAAATCAACTACAAAAATCTCAAAAACCACAGAAACAAGTACAACAACAGCAATCGCAACCACATCAACAACAACAACAACATCAATCACAACAGCAACCACAAAAGCAACAAGCAGCTTTAAATAACAATGAACTGTCCATTAATAAATTAAATGAACCTCCACAAAATGAAATATCATTATCACAATTAATGCATTTAGATTCAATTAGAAGACCTGATTTACAGGATATAGACAGTATACCATTAAGTAATGTTAACTTCCATTTAGGCCGTTTTGATAATCAAAATTTATATAAATATTATGATTTTGTATCAATTGGACGAAGATATGATTATAATATTGAAGATAAAATATGTTTAGCAACACAAAGTTCAATTGAACGTTTACATTTTATAGCTCAAGTCGCTGCAAATTGGAATGGTGCAATATCATTGGCAATATATGTTTCCGGTAATGAAGAATTTAATATTTTGCAGTATTATTTAACATATTTAGAAAATTGTTATGAAAATATACGTGATAATGTTAATATACATTTAGCAGTACCAAAAGATCGAATACCATATAAATTTATAACAGATTTATCAAAATATTTGGATTTATTTTCAAGTTGTAAAATATCAGCTGAAGCAATGCTACAAAAATTATTAAAAATACGTACAGTTGATACAATTAAATATAGACTTAGAACAGCATACCCACAAAATCATTTAAGAAATTTAGCACGTAAAGGATGTCAAAGTAAAAAAGTTTTATTAACGGATGTTGATATAATACCAAATATTAATTTAGCAAATCAATTAGAAACATTTTTTGAAAAGCAAACATGTAAAGGTTTATGTGCTTATGTGATACCAACATTTGAATTAGATGTACGAACAAAATTTCCACAAAATCGTGCAGAATTATTAAGATTAGTTAAAAAGGGTTTAGCGAGACCATTTCATGAAAAAGTTTTTATATACAATCAATTTGCAACAAATTTTTCAAAGTATACATACATAGAGAATATACATAATTATATTTATATACTTGTATAATATATGAAATCACAAATAATATTTTTATATTTTAGATGGATCCAAAATGATAAAATGGATGGTGACATTGTTATTAGCCATAATGTGACAAATTTTGAATTTCTGTATGAACCTTTTTATATAGCTGACAATACAGCTCCAATGTTTGATGAACGATTTCTTGGTTATGGATTTACGAGGAATTCTCAGGTAACAACGTCATTCAATTTAAAATTGCTAATGTGATGTATACAGGATATCTCGTATCAAAACGCAGTTCTACATGCCATTGCATACACTTTCATGAATATATTTATTGTCATTATTTTGGTCTACGCAAGATTTTTTTGTAAATATAATTGAAACTGAGAGAGTCCGCATTTTGAACTGCTTTGCAGATTTTTTTTGAGTTATTGAAGACAAAAATTTGGTATGAAAAATATTTGCACTGCTATATTTTTATCAATAGATCCTAGACCATAACAGGTAGAAAGAGGCGTTCCATACCAGGTTAAAACTCAGTTTCCAGAGCTGCCAGCTGTACTAAAGTTGGAGAATGTTGGAATGTTACGTCACTTAAAGAAATAACATTTTTTAAAAATGAATAAAAAATTCAAATTTTCCGAACTTTAAAGCCACGTGATTCCGTAATTTGAATATACATATTTCGAAATTTTAAGTTAATTTACAAACCGCATTTAATAATGTAATCTGACACAGGAACGAAGTTATACTTAAAATTTTTAAAAGCACAATAGTTGCAGCCCAACAGCCCCGTACAATGCTTTCTACTCATGAGGGTGTATCAAATGATATATAATAGTGCATTTAGATATGAGACATCTTGTATATAACTACAACTAATTATCAATTTCTAATTTATTATAAAGTAATTATTTAAATAATAATATTTTAATTTGCAAAACAAGTTCCAAATGAATTAAAATTTATATCGTATAATCAACCTTACAAGTGAAACTGTTATAAGTCAATTTCAAAACGACTCATCATTGATTAAGAAAAATAACACTCAGAAAAATTATTAATCACATATTATGATTTATGTTAATGATTTATTGTACCAATATATGTATGTATATTAAAAAACATAACTATATAGAATAATAGATAATAAACTACCTACTTTAGAATAAAATTTTTTGGTATGGCAGTCATCTTGTTATAACAATATTATTGTATAAATTTGTAATAATTTCATTCATACTAAAATTAGGTACGCAAACAGTAATTGTTTTCAATTTAGTTTTCCGTCATTTAAGACACAAAAATTTTCAATATTAAAATTTGCAATTGTACGAGTATATATAGGCATATACATATACGCCTGTTTTACTTTTATCTTAAAAAATCAAAATTAATTATAATTTGTTTTTAAATAAAAAAAAAATTAAATGATTAAGATTTTCAAAAAATTTTTCACACAATTGTCATAATTATGAAAAACCCACTCAGCTTCTCTTCAATAATCGCATCGCATCATTATTGTGTTTAACTCTAGCAAATTGTTTTTCTTATTCTGGTGCGACATTAACATCTTAATCAATTCATAAAAGAAATATAATTCAAGGTTAATTAAAAAATATTTAATTGAATAATTATATAACACAAAAAACATATTTTTTCTAATTATTATTTATACATAAAATAATTATTACAATATTATATAATATTATTATACTGCAATAATGCATTCATAGTGACACTATTTTAATAAATTTTAGGTATATGAAATGTATTTGGCAGGTTATCAATTTCAAGTTTTAATACCGGCCTTTACATGTCACTGGGGTCTTCAAAGGAAGAAAGTACGTCCGGCGTGGCGTGAACAACAAAATAATATAAATAGAAAAAAATTTGAAATATTTAATGATGAAATCTCAGTGCGATATAGAAAAAAAGAAAAAGATCAAAAATCAAAAGGAAAAAAAACTTAAGGATATACTCCATGAACACTCGCTAATATTTTGTGTAAAAAAAAACTATATATATATATATATAGAAAAACTAATAATTAATAATAAGTTTTTTTGTTTTTTTTTTTGAATATAGTGAAACGCTATGAATTTTGTGCTAATAAAAATTTTGAAATTGAAAAATTTAGGCTCTCTTCCACAACAATAATATAAATTAAATTGTAAGATTATCTTACAAATATTTCTGATATTATTTAAAAAAAAAAGAATTCAAATAAATTTTACGAAAATTTTATAAAAAAATATAAAAAAAGCAAGTTATTATAAGCTAATAAAAAAAAAATATTTAAAGAAAATATTTAATGAGTGAAAATAATTTTTTAGTGAAAAATTTAGAATAACGAAATTTTAAATTATAAACTAGCTATTATATATAGTTTGTGTTTTTGATATTATGCTCGTATATCAAAGTAAAAAAAAAATGAAAAATTTTAAATTAAAAATTGTAAATATCGAAATAAAAATTGAAAAACTGTTGAATAAATTTTAAAATTAACAATATTTTATTTAATTAAATACAAAGAGGCTCATATATTTAACCAATTTAAAATCTCTGTGCCAGATATACATATTTACATACTTATTGAATTTCAATATTTTCAAAGTATAATATTTAAGTCGAACACAACATATTTAAATATCGGTTGTAGAGTCACCAATTTTTACCAGTTTTGGAACTGCAGCGCTCTACGATGTTATTCAACATTGAATAATTACACGCATCTAAAATTTACATGGATGAATACATTCGATTCAAACTACATTAATAATTTTTTTTGTGTACCGGTCCTACCACTAGGGTTTTCAGCATATAATATTTGTATTAAATCGTATCGCGACTATGTCTAATTTTAATCTCAACACTTTAATTATATTTAATTTAAACTTTCGAAAACTATGGCCAAAATCTTTTTTATATCTTTCGTATTTTCTTTTTTATATGGCCGTATCTTATGAATTTATATATATTTATTTATTGACCCGGTATTTCGAACTTACGTCCCGATTACAAATTTCGCACAGTTTTTGTAACAATTTCAATAATTTCAAACTTTGTAGAGTTATTTAGAAATTATTAAAATATATATGTATAAAATTTTAAAACAATTTTATATATTTATAATTTTATTATTATGACCTATTAATGAATTAAATAGAAATATGGTCATTTATAGAAGTTAGAAGCTTTGCTTCCCAATATTTCTATAATATTTACTAATCACATTTATTTTTCTAGGATTATTGCGAGAAATTTATTGCAAGTTAAGAACAATATTGGAAAATCTAATTTTTCACAAAACAACACAATTGTCTTCTGAAATGCATAAAGAACGATCAATATATTGAATTTTAATGAAACAGAGGAGGAAATTCTCTGTTAATTACTAAACATAGTAGGAAATTTGCTTTTATTAACACAATTTGACAAGGTAATCCAGAAACCAATTTTCAACTATAAAATCTTCAATTATACCTTAAACCTATACAATTTAAAATTATTACCATAAACTCAATTAATATTGAAATAAAATCTTTTGATTTTTTATAATTAAAAAATGTTGATCTACCGTCTAAACTTAATAAATTATTCATTCATACAAAATTTTTTGAGTACTTTATTTTACAAATTATACAAACTAAATACAAAGAGGAATAGTATGTAATTAATAGACAAAAATTTTATTTATAGTTGATTCCAACTAAAAACCTTGACATCCAGAATTATTTTGGTAGCTGTATAGTTAAAAGCAGAAACCTAAATGTTTGCTAATACACTTGAAAATATTTTTTCCTAAATGATTTTTAAAAATTATTGAAAAATTTTTTTGTTGGTATTTTCATTCTGGAAAACTGTCTTTGCATTAATTTTTACCTAGGTGTTACCTTCTGTATTTATCTTCTATATAATCTTTCATTTCTATTGTTTTAATCTTAAATCTTTTGAATATTGAATTTTCGATCATAAAAATATTTCATGCGTAGAACCTGCGGTGTTAAAAATATCATACAATAAATTTCAAATGAAATTAAAAAAAGTATTACCACTATTATAAATGTTCATAAAATTTTTAATTAATAATAAAAATTTTTATAAAATTATGATTATATTTAAAACAAGAAACTGAAAAGAATTATTAAATTATTGTGATTTAATAGGTTTTTCCTTGTGATTAATAGGAAAAAAATTTTAAAAATTTTATAACACAAGGGCCTAAAATTTTATTTTAAAAGATTTTTAAATTACAATTTAAACATTTTAAACGATTATATAGTTTAAAAAATATTAAAATAAAGTAAAATAGAATCACAAAATTTCGTGACCTTTGCTTAATTGGTATTTGAGTTGTCGCTAAAACGGACGGACGAATAGATGATTAGTCTGGCAAACATGGTTAAATGAACAAAGAATTCGACGCGGATCAAAAACATACACTTATGTCTATGTCATAAATATGCTATCCATATTTCATTATCCACGAATAACAATTAGAAAACTTTAATTTTACTACATGCTGCAAACTCTTAGATTAGCCAACTTTTTGAAGAAAAATCAAAAATAACCACTAAATTGTAACATAAGTAAAGAAAGAAAATAATTAGAATTTAATGTCGATAATTTTTTATTCATTTCTAATTCGTTACAGGGACGCCTTTGAGTATACACTTTAAAAGCATGCAAAAATATTAAAATTAAAGTGTTTCCCTATAACATCTTATGTACATATACTGTGAATTTCGGAACACAGTGAAGTAAAACCTTTTATACTTTGTTTTGGATGTCATGGACACTTAAAATTATGAACTAAACAGATTAATTGCAAGGAATCTGTACAACTTTAAAGTACACTATTTAATATTTAAACGCAAAAGTTTAATACCGATAACAAAACCGATATTGTTATGAAAAATAAAATAATTTATAAACTGGCACCTTAGTTCTTTTAACCATTCCATTGTTTTTTTTTTGTTTTTGGTATAAACTATTTTATTTGACATTAATTGTACACAATTTCTGACATATTTGTCTGCAACCGCATTTCGTTATCTACATACATAATATTATAATCAATAAGTTTAAGTGCATGTTTAAATTTTCATCCATTCCTAAATGGTAATTAAAATTATGGTCGTAGCATAAAGATAACCAATCTCCGATTAATAACGCAAAAGGTGATGAATGGTAATAAATTTTTTAAAATTCCATATTTAAAATCATGATATATTGCGGTTTATTTTGCTAAATTTAAATTTTTTACAAAACAACCGCAAAAGAAAAAAAAGTATATTGCTTACTTTACAAATAGTTGAATAAGAAATTGTTAAAAACAAAAACCATTTGATATTTTATTTCACAGGTAAATGATGATAAACGCGCTCAACGCTTTAGTTAAGCACCTGCTTTCTATTTTATGATGATGTTTTATTATGGAGCAAAGAAAAATATTGTAATTATAAGGACATATGCGTTTATATAGCAAAAAATATTTCTAGATTCAATTTATTTTTAAATTATTTCCTGATAATTTCTGGAAATATTAGTTAATAATTAAAATTCAAGTTACTTTCCTTAAATTTTTACTTTGTATGTTTAACATAATATTTTCAACGAAATTTTCAGATTTTTGGCATAAATTAACAAGTTTAAGTAGTATTCGAAATTTTCCAAAAAGGTAAGAGGTACCTTATGTAACAAATTTAATCCTAAATGAAAAGATTAAATTTTACTTTTTCATTTCATCTTAAATTACAAGTTGTTCGGAAGTGCTAATTAATTGGTAAGTATATCTAAGAATTAGGAACAAAAAAAATTTTATATAAATTATAAATTGTTATGGTGTATGTATATGTATGTGTAACATATAGATTTCAGTGATAGATGGTTAACGTGAAGTTTAATCTATTCAATGAAATTTTGACTTATTAAAATTTAAGTTAAGTTATCTTTTTACGTGTCCCACGATAAATTGTGAATTCTACCGTTTATAAAATTCAAAATTCAATTTTGAAGCAGCAACTCTAATTTTTGTCTTGCAAGAAACAAGCCAACTATAATTTCTATAACCAAATTTAAATGTTTCTTAAAATCACAACTTTTTTTTAATTTTTAAGTTTATTTTTACATTTAAACAATTGAAATAGTCAACAAATAACAATTTAAATTTTCCATTTTCCTGAATTGATATATGGTCATTAGTTTTACTCTGTCTATCAATCTATTCCTCGTTTTACAAAACTTTATGCTGTCTTAGACATAGAAATATATTTCTCTATATGAAACTTTTTACCTACATCTGTCTCTGAAAGTAATGGCCTCTTCTTAAAGCCCTAGAGTTGTCAACTCCTTCACCATTTATTTAATTACAATATCCACTTTTATTTTGCAAACCAAAAAAATTTTTTTAATTAGAGACTTGCATGAATTTTCTCTTTGGCTTTTAGCTGTTAGAGTGTAGAATTTTAACACCCTCCAGATACCATTAGGAGAAAATTTATTTCTAACCTCCCTGATCCCCTTAAAAATTATCCACTCCCAAAATTACAAAAGATTTTCGGCGCTCTCGATTTTTCTTCTTACTAATGGAACGGTAATGTAACGCTACTGATTTAAGGCTAAACATCTCTCCAACAAAAAATATTCTAATTAACCGTAGAAATATACTATTATGTTAATGCTTTTTTTAATATTTGTTCTCCCCCGATGGTATGCAATTATTATTTATTGCATAATACAAGTATAGCAATTAAAATAGTTAAACGATTATTTTTCAAAAAGAGTACTCCTATTTACGCAAGGGAAATGTGCTACTTTACAATCTAATCAATTACTTAAAAATTTGTTAAATCCAAGTTTATTTTTTTCCTTATTTTTACTCAATTAAAATAATTTTTTTTTTGTTAATTAACTTTTGACCCATATATAAAATAAATTAAAATAAAAATTAATGTTTTACTATTTTGTTAAACAATTTAGGTAAAAAGTAACGCCACTTTTTCTATATTTACAAAAAAAAATTTTTTACATAATTTTAAATTAGATTCGTACGTACTGAAATGAATTACAAATAAAAATGCAAAACTAAATCATAAAACACCATTGCAAAGTTTGTAACCATTAATTTTGATTGTAATTCAAGTGTATAGCGTGAGATTAAAATTATAATTCGGCATATAATAATGCTGGCGAATCTATAATTTTATTTAATCTCTTGATTTCTATACTGTCTTCACTTTTTTAAATTATAAAGTTCATTTTACAAACTAGAAAAATGAAGAAAAACAGTAATAACAAA